ATAAATTGTTGGTTAAAGTGGGAAAAACTAAAAGAAATTTTACACTAGATGGCTGCATATAAATTCTGTGACACCCTTACTATCTCAACACATACATCGAAATAATATAGTAAAATTAAGAAGAATAAACTTAATCAAAGTTGGTAAAAGGGTTCATAAAACTTTATAACTGTTCTTTCTCAAATGACTGAAAAATAAAACTTGAAAGGTAAAATTTAAGAGTTTACAGATTTTCAAAGAAATTACATTCATTACAATACCAAATCCATATAAATATTCTATCCTAGAAATCCTCTGCCCCGATGTCACACTATCAGAGCATTCCCAGAATTTAACTGTTGGCATTCTAGATGTCACTCGTAGCTGGATCTTCTTTACCTAAAATATCCACAATTTATACGGTGAGAAAAGAAAATATCTATATGCGAAGTACATACAAACACATCACAATATAATCTCATCATAACTCATTATTTAATAAAATATATACAAGCGTATATATATATATATATATATATATATATATATATATATATATATATATGAAAAAGACACATAACATAAAATGTGTTTCAAAAAAAATTGTACAACATCTCATCTCATTAATCAAATTCACATTACATACACAATTTCACCTCACATATATAATAGATAAGTTTAACAAAATAAGGGTTTACACACCCCTCAAGTAATCTACATCAAAATCATTCATTCTTAACAAGTAATATAACAATAACTTTCGTTAATATAATAATCAATAGAATAATTAATATAAACAGTAAAACCCCTAATTATTCCAAAATCTAGCTCACCGCATTTTCCTTACAATTCATTCTTCTTCCCAGATCATCATTCCTACACTTAGGCATATTTATAAACCTCAACATAGATAATTTTAATGGAACTAATAATTCTCCAAATAAAATAATTATAAAATTAATCATAATCCTAAGGAATTCTTCCTCTACCCAATTTCCTCATGTAGATCTACATATAAATAATCCCCTTTTCCCCCGTACTTGGATAAATAGGAACTTGGGCAGAACCTCCTCCTCTCTTTCCTTAAACAGTAACCGGAACTAGGGCAGAATCTTCTCCTCGAGATTCCTCTTTCTCTCTCTCTCTCTCTCTCTAAAATTTTTCACCCTTCTCAGTTATAATTTTTCACCCCCCATGCCTCCTATTTATAGGCAACCTGGGGTACCCGGAACGGCCCGTATTGAATTCAGAACGGCCCGTTCCGGATCCTTCGAATCTGTGCAAATTTTTCAACTGGAACGGCCCGTTCTAAAATCGGAACGACCCGTTTTCAAAAAGTAGAACGACCCGTTCTAAAACCAGAACGGCCCGTTCTCAATCTCAGCAGAATGCCCCGTTCTCCTTGTTGGAACGGCTCGTTCTAGGCTCGTTCCCAACTTAAAAATTTAGCTTATTTTTGTTGCTTGGAACGACCCGTTCCACTTTTGGAACAGCCCGTTCCAAGTTACAAAAATACCCCTATAACTTTAATAAAATTACGAAAATACCAAATAATAATAATAAAATAATAAGATGTTACAAATTCTATTTAACAACTATATTGGTTAATCTTTTTCATAAATGGAATAATAATTATTGTAGACACTTTGCTCTCAAATAAAAGCACTTTGGTTACTTGTGGTAGAAAAGTTTAAACAAAACTAATAAATTGTTGGTTAAAGTGGGAAAAACTAAAAGAAATTTTACACTAGAATTAAGTGACGGATCCAGAAAATTTGTTAAGTGGGAACAATAAAATATTTTATATTATTTTTACTAAAAAATAAAATACTTTTTTAGAAAATATATTTTTATGGTAAAACTTTTAAAATACTTTATTTTTACAATTTACAATTGTCTTATAAATATAGAGTGATAATTTTTCTTTTTTCTTTTTCTATTTGAGATTATATTTAAGTGTCACTTTATAATTTTTTATAACTTATTTAAGATTAAAGGAATAAAATGGTGAAAATTAATAGGATAAAAATAATAAAATTATTAATTTGTTTTCTTTTAGTATTCTCTAAATTTCTACACTCATTTAAAACAAAAATATTTTATGAGTGTAATGTCTATTTTTATTTTTTTTACAAGAGTAAATTTCTTTATTTAAATATATGTAAGTTAAAAAACTATGTGACAATTACTCTCATTCCTCTTAATATGGATCATCTCCTATCAACACACAATATACATATAAAAGGATTAAAAGATAAAATAAAAATTGAAAAATAACCTACATTAGTAAACTAAATTATGACATCTTTAATGAATAAAGAAGTAATAAATATTTTAGCCAAAAAATATAGTATATTATAATAATAATAAAAAATAAGGAAGATCTACTTATTCCAAGAATAATATTTTATAAACTTATTTCACTCAATAATTCATATTCTACATCAAGTATTCAACAGTTTAATTAAAAGTCTTTAATGTATAGATCAAATTTATAAAATTTTAAAAAATTTAAAAATTATTTGATATTTTATTTCATTAATTTAAATTGATGGATAATAATAAAATCATTTTATATGTTGATTTGAATTAATGAAACGAAGTATCAAATGGTTTTCAAATTTTCTAAAAAATTTAAAGTATCTTATGATTTTTAATTTTTTTAAAAATTTATAAATTTGATCTATACATGAAAAACTTTTAATTTAACAATTGAATTTTTAAAATTTTGATATAGAACATTAGTTATTGAGTAGAATAAATCTATCGAGACTTACTTTTAGGATAAGTAAATGGTTTCTTTAGAAAAAATTAAGATAATTTAATTTGCCACAAAATAAAAATAATTAAATAATAAAATAAAATATAAAAAATATTAATATATTTATTATATTAAATATAATAATTAATAATATATATTTTATAAAAACAATTAATATTTTATATATAAAAAAAAGAATGAAAAAAATTTTAGTGGGGACAAATACCCCCACTATCACTAACATAGATCCGTCCCTGCACTAGATGGTTGCATATAAATTCTATTTAAGAACTATATTGATTAATCTTTTCATAAATGGAATAATAATTACTGTAGACACTTTGCTCTCAAATAAAAGCACTTTGGTTACTAGTGGTAGAAAAGTCTAAACAAAACTAATAAATTGTTGGTTAAAAGTGGGAAAACTAAAAGAAATTTTACACTAAATGGCTGCATATAAATTCTATTTAACAACTATATTGATTATTCTTTTCATAAATGGAATAATAATTATTGTAGACACTTTGCTCTCAAATAAAAGCACTTTGGTTACTAGTTGTAGAAAAGTCTAAACAAAACTAATAAATTGTTGGTTAAAGTGGGAAAAATTAAAAGAAATTTTACACTAGATGGCTGCATATAAATTCTATTTAACAACTATATTGATTATTCTTTTTATAAATGGAATAATAATTATTGTAGACACTTTGCTCTCAAATAAAAGCACTTTGGTTACTTGTGGTAGAAAAGTCTAAACAAACTAATAAATTGTTGGTTAAAGTGATATAGACTTGTGTAAAGTTTGGGTTCAAGTTTTGTGAATATAAAAAAATTAATTGAGAGGGAGATATTACTAAAAATGATTATACAATTTTGAGTCATGTAAATATTTTAAAAAAAGTGATTGAAAAGAAATTTTTCACTGGAAGTGATTAAACTGATTCTCTGACAGGAATTGATCATTAATAAAGTCACTAATATTCCATGTCAATATCTAGTTATCAAAAGAGAGTCATAACAAAACAAGTGTTCTTTAACATATCCATTGATAAGTCTTTGAACAAGCACATGAGGTCCAAATCTAATGCGACCGATTTTGCTATTATATAGTTGGATTCCTCTCAACCCCAACTTTGTGAAACAGAAACTTAACGTGTATGGAGCTTTTATTTCCACATCAAGGAAGGTTGTGAAATTACATATCCATGCTCATTCACAAAATAAGAATCTTACGATCTATGATACATTCAATTTTCACATGTCGCGTGCAAGCTAAGCATGCATATGCAAATAACCGTATCTTTAATTTCCTGCCAGATTTTTTTCATCTTTGTTGTTATTGGCTAAAAGACTCAAGGTTTATAAATGGAGATTATTGAGGGAATACAGAAATAACGGTTTTCATGACAGTGTTAATACCTTTACATGCATAATGAGTTTCTGAACTATATATAATTTGGTTTCAAAAGGCCATTTAATTTTCAAAACATTAAATGCTTTATCAATACATCTGCTAGCCTACTACTTTATCAAAAGACATGGCTACTTTAAATTTGGCTGAGTCTAAACCGTTGGATTTATCAATAAACAACAATCACAAAAGAAAGAAATACGATTCATAATAAAGGTTGCAGATGCAAAATTTTCTGCTAGAGTCAAGAAAAGAATTATACTCAAGAGAGGAAGTGTCCCATATATGGCTGAACAACTTTCATTTTCTCGTGCTTAACGTGTCACTTTCATAATAGCTACCAACTACTCAAGCCATGCTTTTATGGCAACACGGCAACACCAACTTCATTATTCAACACAACATGTGAGTAAAATTGTACAAAATCAATTAGTTAGAATCTATGGAGATATAAACTTATAAGTATTTTTATAATTTCATTACTAAAAAATATTATTTATTTTTTATAGAAAAAATCTCAAAATTGACAATGTTAATTCGCTGTATCAAAATAATTCCAATTCAAATTTTTGTGATACCTTCAATCCTTCATAATGTTTTTTCTTAACTGAGATAAAAATATATTAAATATGTTTCACCAACAAATAAATAGTAGAAATGCACTCAAGAGTTGCTGAAATTTGAAACTCCAAAATAGGGTGTAATGGTTTACGAGAAAGATAAAAAAAGATAAAAGGTAATCTATATATGTTTGTTTTTTAACCGTGGTATTATTGCAAAATATCATGACTAATCTCTCTTGAAAAAAATTTCCGATCAATTTTAAATTTTAATGTACTTTTTCCTTTCAATCATGTAATAAATGATATGACAGAAAGAATAAAGTAAAAGGATAGTAAAAAATATATATCACCTGAGAGAGGTTTTCAGTTGATCAGCTTTGAAACGTTTTTTGTTGCATGAGTGTCATCTCTAATCATACCAACAACATGAAAATGGTAGACAAGCAGCTAATTAGTGTTGTAATTATACTACTTTGCTGTGTTCATTTTCATGTCCAAAGCTCTCATGATGTTGAAGATGGAATCAGCAGATCTCAATTCCCAGAAGGGTTCCTCTTTGGAACAAGCTCTTCCTCTTACCAGGTACTTGTTTACTTTTCCTTTCTCAGCTTTCAAATACGTTCAAGTGTGTTTATTTTTTCCCAAATATATAAATTTTGTTGGAGTGACTAGTTTTTCTCCTCTTGAAATATTGAAAATGTTAAATGGGAATTTTTTGAAACAACAACAGATTGAAGGAGCACCTTTTGAAGATGGTAAGGGTTTAAGCAACTGGGATGTTTTTAGTCACACCCCAGGTGAATGGTTTTCTAGTGATCTCATTTCCTTTATCTTGATTTTTTTTGTGGTGCATAGAGTTATAGAATCATAATAATTTACTATGAATAATCACTATGAAATTTGATTTTTTTTCAGGTAAGATAAACAACGATGAGAATGGTGACATTGCAGATGATCACTATCATCGCTATTTGGTAAATACCATCTTCATATTTTACTTGCCTTTATTACGCTAACTTGGTATCATTGACTCACTTTTGTCCTCATTACGCTAACAGGAAGACATTGAATTGATGTCTTCTCTTGGTGTAAATGTATATCGATTTTCTATTTCGTGGTCGAGAATTCTACCAAGTAAGTATTTAAAACTTACATAGTATTTCCCATAATCTTATTCTTATCTGTCAAATTTTCTGCTTAATTTGGTCTTCATGAACCGTAACAGGAGGGATATATGGGGACATAAATCCAAGAGGGATAATGATCTACAACAAGATTATAGACAATCTGCTGCTTAGAGGTGAAGTAAATGTCCACTTGGTTTACTGTATAGAGCCTGGTTGGATATAAGTCTAAGAGTGTTTTTAAGTATTTCTTTATTAAAAAATATTCTTTATTTCTAATAGAGAAGTTTTCAAAACGCTTCTAACTTATATCCAAATAAACTAATAGTATTACTTTGTCTTGACTTGAGATTGATAATATTCGGTCTTAGTATATGTAAAACTAAAGACATAAGAAATAACTATACAATAAGTAAAAACTAAAGTATTAAGCATAAGCCAAATCTCAAATGGTTTAATATTATAAGAGGAGTGTTAGTGTCTAGTTAATAGTTTCTATAATACTTTCTTAATGGTTAAAATTCATGCAGGTCCTACTAATTTAGAAATGGGACCATTGAATAGAAATGGAACCTACATATCACTGTTGAAATTATGTGACTCCACTTAGGATGAGAATTCCACCCATTAACTAGGAAATCTACGTATTAAGTGAGACCAGAATTTCACATAATAAGAGAGAGTACGATGGAAAGGAAGTATTTGAGAGCGTTTAGTAAGATTTATCTATTTATATTTATTAAAACATTGGGATAAGATGTACCTAATACCAAACACGGTGTGCCTAATCCAGGGATTGAGCCATTTGTGACAATACATCATTCTGACTTGCCACATGAACTGGAAGAAAGATATGGTGGTTGGATTAGTCCCTTGATACAGTAAATCTACAGCTCCCTTTTTTGTTTACTTATAATATATAATGCCAAGGGATTTGGATTTAACGATTTTTCAATGAATTGTCCTGTAAGCTGATGAATCCCCTTGCACAATCGTAGTCCACAAGTTTAAGCCAAGAGAACAGTGAAACTTCTGTAAATGTATATTTCCTTTGTTGCAGGAGAGATTTTGTTCATTTTGCTGAAATTTGTTTTAAGAACTTTGGAGACAGGGTTAAGTACTGGACTACCATCAACGAGCCAAATCTGGTTGTAGAGTCAGCCTATATGAGAGGAATACACCCTCCTGGTCACTGTTCTCCACCTTTTGGAAATTGTTATACTGGTAACTCTGATGTTGAGCCTCTCATTGCCATGCACAATATGTTACTATCACATGCCAAGGCTGTTAAATTATACCGCAAGCACTTTCAGGTAACAAAAGATGTCCTAAACTATCATTTTTTGTCACATTTTCTAGTTTAGGGGAAAGACGATTGAAAGCCAAGATGAGAGTTTAATTAGTAAACCACTCATGCTAATCCAGGCAAAACAAGGTGGAAGTATTGGCATTGTTGCACATGCCTTCATGTATGAACCACTTAGAGATGAAGAATGTGATAGACAAGCTGTGAATAGGACCTTGGCTTTTGGCTTACCATGGTAAGTTGTTAAGAAGTACCATTTAATACCTGCAACAAAATCAAAGGAAAAAAATTGAGAAGAGTTTTTCTCATGACAATCATGCCAAAATAAACTATTGTGTACATTATTAATGAAAATAGTTAGCAGCACATGATCCTTTTATTTTTTTTATTTAAAAAACTTTTCCTGCTTTTTTGGTGACAAGAAGGGTCATAGATCCCTTGGTTTTTGGTGAATACCCTGCTGAGATGCATTCTATTCTTGGGAGCCAGCTACCAAGATTCTCTCTTAGGGAGAATAATCTCATAAAAGGAAGCCTAGACTTCATTGGCATCAATCACTATGGAACTCTCTATGCCAAAGACTGTTCCCTCTCTGCTTGTCCTTTTGGAGCAGATCATCCAATAAGTGGTTTTGTAGAAACAACAGGAACAAGAGATGGCATTCCAATTGGTGATCAGGTGCCCTTATTTCATTATGTTGCTTCCTCAAATGTTTGACAAAGGAATAGGTATTAAACATAATCTATGATACAATTTGTTTTGTTTTAAGCAGACAGGAATGCTAGAGCTCTTTGTGGTTCCAAAGGGAATGGAGAAGATTGTAGACTACATTAAGATAAGATACCATAATATGCCCGTTTATATTACAGAAAATGGTAAGTAAGAATCGATACTTTTGAGAATTTCTCACGAGTATTTTTCAGTAAAAAAACTTTTAAAATCGTTTTTAAATTTGTGTACAAACAGACTCATAATCACATAACATTTTGTATAGGAATGATAACAACTTTGAAAACATAAACAAAGAAATGGGATTAGTAATTTTTTTACAATCAGTTATAAAAAATGAGAAATGAAAACAAGAAAGCAGTTCCAAAATTTCATTTTCTTCCTTTTGTTTTAACCTATTGATCAATTAATATTGAGCATTTTATCTTAAACTAAGAGACCAAGAACAATAACTATGGTAGGTCGCTTAACAAATTTTGGATTGGTACATAAAAATTGTTTCAGGATATTCTTCCCCTCTCAAAGCTGATGTGACAATGCATGATTTACTACAAGATTTCAAACGAATAGATTACCATAAAGCCTACCTTGCAGCTCTTCTAAGGGCCATACGGTGAGTGATGATGACTCACTAATATATGAATAACATCATTGTTTTAAGGGTTATTTTGAATTACTTTTTATGATAAGGAGTAATTTTGATATGTGCAGAAAAGGTGCGGATGTAAGAGGATATATGATATGGTCATTGTTGGATAATTTTGAATGGACACATGGCTATGAGACGAGATTTGGGCTATATTATGTTGATAGACACACCCTTGAACGAATTCCAAAACTTTCTGTTCAATGGTTTTCTAGTTTCCTCAACAACACTGGCCACACCAACAAAAGAGAAAACTTGGGCGAGCAACATCTTGGAAGCAAAAATGTTAGGAATGTTGGTTTCAATTTTATTTGAACTATCCCGTGAATTTCAATTAACGTGTTCTCGACTCCATCGATGATGAAACTGGTCCATTCATTGTTTCTCTTAATTTGTTTATGATAATCGTTAGAAATTTTATTTACGAATATTTAATGATTGTTGTATATTTTTAGAGTTTAGGATCGTATATTTTTACTGTTTATGTTTCACCTTAATATTATTATCTTTATTTTATTCGTAATCATTTATGTTTATAAATAGATTATATGTTGAAAATCATATAAGATACTATTTTTTCTTTTATATTGTTCTCTATGTACTTTCTCTCATTTCTCTTTATTGTTTTTATATTATAATTTATAGTTTTATGTTAATTTTTATAGCATGTTACAGTATGATAATCATTCTTGCATTGATGTTGCAATCTTCAAAGACAAAGTTAGAAGAATTTTCATGAAGAAAATTATATTTTTCAAATTCATATTTCATAGTTAGTCTATTTTTTATAATTATATTTTATCTTTAATCATATTCTTCACATTATTTATTTGATAGAATATTTGTATTGTTCATATATATTACTAGAATTTCTCTTATTACATACGATTTTTCTGGCGAATTTTTCATAAAAATTCGCAGGAAACGTTATTCCTGCAAATTTTCCTGCAAATTTTTATCTGCAGGGAATACCTTCGTGTATAATATTTTTTTACAAATTTTAAAATTCGCAGGAAATTTTCCTACAAAATTTCTTGCGAAAAAATTCGTAGGAAAGTTTCCTGAAATTTCTTGCGAAAAAAATTCGTAGAAAAGTTTCCTGAAATTTCTTGCGAAAAAAATTCGTAGGAAAGTTTCCTGCAAAAAAAAATTGCAAAAAATCTGCACCTGCGACTTTTTTCACAAGAAATTTTGCAGGAATACTTTTTATGAAGAAAATTAAAGAAATTACTATAAATTCTATCAATAATTTTTCAACTTTCAAATGCTCACAATGAATTCATCCAAAAACATTTATTTCCATGCCTCCAACATGTGATACATAATCTTTTAAATTCTAAGATGGTAGATTATAAGCCTAACACTCAACTATATAAATCAACTTGTAAGGTAAGTGTTGCCCCAACTTATATACTCTTTAATTGTTTTATTTTCAATTGATGTGGGACTTGAAGTTTTTTTAAATATTAAACTTATAAATTTAAATATTTTTTTTTATTTTTCCTGCGGATTAAAATTTGCAGGAAAAATTACCTGCAAAATTTTTCTACATTTTAGTAAACATTACTTGCGAATTTATTTTTGCAAGAAAATCTGCAAGAAACAAAATAAAATTCTTACAATATTTTCTGCAAATTTTTACAATGGAAAAAAATTTCTATGATTATTAAAATTTTGGCAAAATTTGTAAAAAAATATTTGTAAATTATTTTTTGCAAATAAATTCGCAAAAAATTTCTGTGAATATTTTTTTGCAGGAAAATTCGCAAAAAATTTCTACGAATATTTTTTTGCAGGAGAATTTGCAAGAAAATGACATTTTTCTAGTAGTGTGATTGTGAAATTTATTTAAATACAATTGGTTTTAAAGACAAAATCAAGAAAGTAAATTATAAAAAAAATTTTTGCAATGATCTAGAAGACATTGTTAAATAAAAAAATTTTAAGAATATTTTTTCTCACAAAAAAAATAGGAAAATGGTGCCAAAACGAAAATGAAAGAATAATTTTTCTCATTAGAAATGAGAAAATAAAATATATGAAAAGTGAAAAAAATACCAAAAGTGGAAAAGTTGTTTGAAAAGTGAAAAAGAAAAACATATATAAAGTAACAAATATGGTAGACATATACTATATTATGTTTGATTCTTCGATATAAATAAGAAAATCACTAAAAATAGAATAACTTTGTCAAAGTCATAATTATAATGTTGAATGATTATTGAAATCCTAATAAAAATTGTGGGTAGTAAAGTGATGTCTAAGTCTCTTTCAAATTTTATATAATTTCTTGAAGAGGTTTATGTGAGCACCCCTAAATTTATAATTTTATATTATTTATTATTGAATTGATTAAAATAATTGACTTGTTATGTGATTGAATTTTAAGGGTTTGATTTCAAATCCTATTATTAAATTTTTGTCATGTGTTTTCATAATATTATAAGTTTATTATTTAAATTAATGGAGATCAATGAATATAAATCAAAATCATTTGATTATGATTTTTATAGAAATGATAAAATTTAATGAAAATATGATTATTTTTTATTTTCCTTTTTAGATACATCATTTATAGGGAGAATAGTTTCCCTGATTTTTAACATTATTTTTTCCCCTTAAAGTCAACCTATTAGTGACATGAATATATTTTTATTAAATAATTTTTTAAAATTATTTTATCATTTTGTTATTAAACATTATGATAAGAAAAATTCACTTGTTTTTTGAAACAAAAGAAAGACATAAACACTAAAGAAGTATGATTCTTTTAAAAGAACATTTAATTGTGTTTCCTGATTACTAATAAATTTTTTATTTTTCTTGTGTCATTCATTTCCTAAAATGATAAAGTAACTTGTAAATATTTTTTTTTTGCATGAAGCCTTTATTTTTAAATTGTATGGTATAAAAATTAGTGTAAATTTTGAGATTAAATTAGTGTCTAAAGATACATCAAGAGAAATGTCAATTTTATAATAATTTTTCAATTTGAAAATATGTTATATTTTTTATACATATATTATGCTCCTAAAGCAGCAATATTGAAAGAAAAAAAAAAGATTAAGAAATATTCTAAGTTAGTTTATCGTTTCTTGAAGACTAAACAAAATAATAAGACTTTGATGTATGTGATTATTTCAACTAGTACTATTTCATTTCCTAAAGTAGATGCAACAAAGTATTTTTTTGTTGTCTTATATTTAGTAATGTGAGAAGCTAGATATATGGTACTACAAAAAAATAATTGAAGATTCTAAAAGAGCTAATATATTGGTGTAATCATCTTAATGAATATATGTTACAAGAATGATATGAGAAATGATATGATTTTTTCATGTATTTTTATGAAATGATATGTAATTGAGTTTATCATGATTTCTATGTGTGTAAATGACATAAACATTTTTTAAAGCCCCAAAGAGATTCAAAAACCTATAGTTTCATAAAGATTAGATTGGAATGAAGGATACAAAGTGAACAAAATTATATTTATCATTACAATTTGAATATCTAAATTATAAAGTTTCTTGTACATCAATAAACTTATATAACAAAGGCATTCAAAATGATTTATATGGTCAAATCACATTTGTTGCGCATTCTAATGATTATAAGGTCTTTAGACATGTACAAAGATCATTTTAGATCCCTAGGAAAAGGATAAAAAAAAGGAAGTAACGGAGAAAGGAGCATAGAAGAGAGAAGTATTGAATAATTAAGGATTTAATAATCTAATTTAATCTGATCCCTTAAATTAATCTAAGAGTTATATTTTAACCCTCTCATCTATCATAATAAAATGTCCTCTCACGTGATATGCTCTCTGTATATATATTTCTACTAAAGGGTTTGTGTTTTGTTGTGAAAATAATGGCTTGTTACTGGCAAGAGGATTCAGTGGGTGTGTTTTCCATTACTCTTTCATTTTACTTGGTTCGATGCTTAATGCTGTAGAAATGGATGCATGAGTTGTTTCTTTCTATATGTGTTCAGTGAGCTTGTAGCGGACTTTCATCCCATCCTCATCAAACACACGCAGACCCTTGTTCCGCCCCTTGTGGTTCTTTTCAGATTTCAGGTTCATTTCTAATATATGCCGAATGTCCCATGATTTGTGCTACTTAATTGCATAGAAAGTGATGCTATTATTTTGTAAACTATTAGTAAATGATATGAGTTGCTGTTGTTGCCTGTACGTGTTTTGTAGCCACTTCTTCACTTCCCTCCAAATTTGTGCTCCCCTGAACCAGTTTTTTCCTCTTCCATGATTCCTACAATCAAAGAAAAAGAAAATTAGTTACTAGCTTGCTCCAATGTTGGTATATCCACGCCTATATATATTGTTGTTAAGTTTACTCTAGCCCATATACTAATGTTAGGACATTAATATATATATATATA